GCTATAAATCATATGTATTTCCTTAGAAAAACTGTTTACACCTCAAAATACTTATAGCCTTCTTAAATGCTGAAAGTTGGTTTTAAAAATATTGTGAGTATTCTTTTCAGGTCTAGATATTCATGGAGAAAAAGGGAAATAATACTTTAAGAACCGTGAAGAGCAGAAGAAAGTAAGTACTATATAACATCAATGTGCAATAAAACTCTCATTATACACCTAAAAAATAGAGCTGTTAAAAGTACAATAGGAATGGGAACAGAGGAACCAGAAGAGAAGAACTGCTATACTTTGTTTATTGTCATAAAGAAGATAGTTTTAAGATGAATCAACAACAAAATAAAATGGATATACAAACCAATTACAGACTGAATCAGTTCTGAGAGGGTTTGCCTTATTTCTATTATTTGTGTTTCATTTGTTTCCATTTCTTGAAAGATTTCCTTTTGCTATGTTATCTCACTGTCACACAGACAAACTTTTGCTGGCATATGCTGTATCCTTGCCAAGATAGTATATCTTAGGTAGAAATCATGAAAGACAACCAAAAAGGCTAAATGATACCCAAATCTGTTTTTAAGTGCCTTATTAATGAGTAAACAAACCTCTTCCTCTTCTATTTGAGTGACTTTCAAAAATAAACCTAAATGAATGGTACAAAGGAGAAAACAACAAAGAAAGTTGCACTGGATAAATAATAGCAGCTCTAACCTCTGAGGAGCTGTCTGAATCTTCCTGTATCCCTGAATTTTGAGATGATGCCTGTGAATTATGGTCTATGTTGGACCGTGTTAGATAAGTATGTTGACGCTTGCGCTGGGTCCTCCGTAAAGACCGCCCACAGCTGGGCTGATAATCATTCTGAAAAGAGAAGGAAAACATTATTTTAAAAGAAAACATAATAAACTGAATGGTAAATACCTCAGTTGCAGGAATTTGCCCATTTAATGTTTAAACATGGCACATTATTCATAATTATCATAAGAGGAATAAACATCCATATTATATTTAATGTAATTCTTAAATGTACATTTATTTCTTTAGAAGAAAGTCTGTTAAAGCATTAAAATGACTAATTAAATTTAATCATTTATTTCTCTTTTATTCCAGATTAGTATTCTTAAGATTCTTAGGGTTTATTAAAGATCTTTAGAATCAATTTAACACTGCTTTACATGGTTGTTGACATTTGTAATCCCAGCACTTGGGAAACCGAAGTACAAAGACTACAATAAGTTCAAAGCCAGCTTGGGCTACAGAGTGACACCCTGGTTCAAAATAATGAAACTATTTGCATTTATTTTTCATTTTATTTGTACGGGTGTTTTGCCTCCATGTATGTTTGTACATCACATGAATGCTTTGTGCCAATGGAGGCCAGAAAAGAGCATTGATTCCCCTAGAATTGGAGTTACAGATGATTGTGAGCCACCTGGCATGGGTACAAGGAATCAAACTTGGGTACTCTGTAAGAGCAACCAGTGCTCTTAATTATTGAGTCACCTCTCTGGCCCCAGAAAAAATAATTTTAAGAATAAATTTAATACATTTTTTTTGTAGAAAAATACCAGGAGAGAATTGATAGACAGAAAATAAACTTTAGATTATATAAGAACAGGAGGGGAAAGACTCAAAGAAATTCACATATAAAAAGTAATATTCCAATCAGATATTGTGGAACAAGCTTATAATCCCAAAACCTGCGAGTGGAGGGAAGAGTTAGAAGAAGATGTGGAGTTCAGGAGTCCAAGGTCATCTTTAACTGCATACGGCATTCAAGGCAAGCCTGGGCTATATGAGACACAGTCTCAAACACAGTAACAACAGTATGATTCCAGCCAGTTGCAGATCCCTGCATCATATGCTGTCATCTTTAACCTTGAGCATAAACCCCTGATAAAGCATTGTCCGGTCTTGCCTGGCATGATGGCACATGCCTGTATTTCCAGCATTCAAAACTCAAGAGGCAGAAGGAACACTGTATTCAAGATTACATAGTCTACATAATAAGTTCTACGCCAGCGGGGGTTTAGATAAAGGCCCTGCCTCAAAAAACAAAAACAAAACTAAAAAAATTCAAATTTTTGAGCACAGAAGTATGCAATCAGATAATAAGCAAGAAACTATGCCATGTTTTAACTTCATATATTTCACTGCTATTTGTGAACAATGTAAAATAGACAATTTTAGTAGTAACACGTAATTCAGCTGAAACTGTAACTAGAGTTGGCAGAATATTAATACAGTATACAGGTTTAAGAGATATTAATTTGGGGCCCAGCTTGGTAGCACATGCTTTTGATCCCAGTGTTCAGGAGGCAGAGACAAAGGCAAGTGAATCTATTTGAGTTCAAGGCCAGCCTGATCTATATAGCAAGTTCTAGGCTAGCCAGGGCTTCCAGGCTTGCTAGGGTTCTATAAAGAGACAATTAATAAAAGATATTTATTTTTTTGTTTTGTTTTTCGAGACAGGGTTTCTCTGTATTGCTTTGGAGGCTGTCCTGGTACTCACTCTTGAGACCAGGGTAGCCTCAAACTCACAGAGATCCACCTGCCTCTGCCTCCCGAGTGCTAGAATTAAAATTGTGTGCCACCAATGCCTGGATTAATTTTAACAAATAACATTTAGTGTAGCATCTACCTTTCTATAATATCTAATAGTTATAGGTAAAATACATTATTGCTGGTAATATCACAGAGCAAAACTACAGCCTTAACATGTCATTGCGAGTAAGTTTAAAACTCTTACAAACTACTCTTGAAGGGCCAGGTTTTTGTTCTTATATGTACTATCTTGTCCAGAGTGACCTCAAACTCTCATTATCTTTCTATACCTCAGCACCCCAAATTTTGGGATCACAGATATGCACCACCATGTCTGGCTTCTTTCATCTTCAATTCATATGAAATGTTTAAATCCTAGCCTAAATACCTACCTAATTATATACATAATCTAAACTCTAGCATTTCCATATAAATTGATAGCAAATCAGCAAAAAGAAACCATGAGTTAGATTCATATTAGAGATTAAACAAGCTAAAAAAAAAAACCTTTTCCACAATATAAAATTTTAAAGCAGGTATCAAAATCATGTACAAATATTAAGGTATTTTGATAATTACCAATTTTGTTCATTGATACTGAAAAAATAATTATAATTCATGATACATTACTTAGCTTTTTTTTAAACATTGAAAATCATCATAGAGTCTCCAATTAAGCATATTATACAGAGGGGTTGTGACAGGAAGAAATAGTTTGCATTCTGATGCCTTTTGACTGATAAATGAGAAGTATTAATCAACTTAACAGGCCAAATGCAGTACAGGTATCCCATCCATTACATAGCAGGGTCTACTGGGAAATGAATCCAGTACATCCCAAAGTATACTTAGATTTTGCTTACATGATTAGGTAGCTTATACATGGACTGCAGTAAGGTCAGCAAACTATTTGCAGAGGGGCAGAATGTCTGGCATTTTAGGTCAGATAATTTCTATTCCAACTACTCAACTCTGTCTTTATATACCACATGCAACAACTAAAGGCAAGTTATAATTCAATATGTGGCTGTACTACAATAAAATATAATTAACTAAAAATAAACAGGATTTCATACATGAACTTGTCAACCTCTCATCTAATGGATCTAGCATTTATTTTACATTATGAATGATGATCATATGAAAATAATATTTTATACATATACAATAAGACAACCTTTTATTTAAATTTTTCTATTAATAACCATGCACATGTATATGTGTATGTATATGGATTTGGGGTTTAAAAATTAGGAACCCTGTAAGCAGATACCAATTTAAATATCTTCTTGATCGATAAATGTTATCTTTCAAATAATTCTTCCTTGCACACGTTAGATTCCAAAGCACTGAAAAGGCAAACTTACTCTTTGGATAGTGTAAGATGGCTTTTTCTTCTTTTCAACTGTATAAAGACTAATTTCTAGGTCACCTTTCGCATTTCGACATTCTTCTTGCACCCTAATAAAATATTGAAAATCAAAATAATAAAAAGAATCCAGCAGTTTAAACATCAAACCCAAAAACTAAACAATTTCAAAATATAAAATTTATCTCTGTAATCGTTTTAGCTATATATCTCAGTGGCAATGTTCTGCATCACCACCACTACCCAGTCTCATTAGTTTTCCATCATTCCCAAGATAAATTCTGTAACTATTAAGCAGTTACTTCTCATTTCCCCATTCCTCTATGCTCTGAAAACCTGATACCTGTTATTATGTCCATGAATTGGCCTGCTCTAAATACTGTATGTTAAGTGGAGTTATTTGTCTATTTGTGTATGTCTTCTTTCACCTGGCAAGACAGTTTCAAATTTCATTCATGTTTCAGCAGTTATCAGAATGGCTTTATTATATATAGACTAATAAAATACCATTATATGATTATATCATATTTTTTCTATTTATTTACTGATTGATATTTGATTTGTTTCTACCACTTGCTCACTTGAATAACTTCCCAATGAATATTAGCGTGCAAATATCTAATTCCCGGCTTCATCATTAAATTTTAAGTAAGGAATTCTTTTAATTTTCTCTATTCCAGCAATTTCAACCATAAAATTAGCTGTCTTTTTTCTTGATTCCTACTTACACCAGAAAGGAGAAGGGGAAATGGAGATTAAATATATTTTGCTACTTTTGGGTTATCTGTTAAAAATACTTAATTAGGTGGTATGGTTAAAATGAATTTCATATGTTCTCTCTAATAGTTCATAGAAACATATATAATACATATAGAATATGTATAACCTTTTTCCAGTTGTAATGATTTATGTAACTGTTATTATAATAAAAGGTAGTTTTACAAGTAAGAATGGTGATTCTAGATTTGAAATTATGCCAATGAAATCTTTCACCAATGAAGACTATTTAAATGACACTTTTAAGTACATCTACACTGCATACTCATACTGCTCCAATATTTAGCTGGTGACCTTTTCCTTGGAGTCACTGTTGAATATACAGTCAATATGCCATTCATGTTCACATATTAGCTATTGTGAATTCTTTCTTAATAACACTGTATTCTTACCCTAACTTAGATGATAGCCAGATACATTGGCAATAATGCATCACATTTTCAGTACTTCCCAAAGCATTTATCAAAAGCTGAGCATATTTACAATATTTATTATAGAATAAACTAATTAAAATTAGTTAATATGGAAGATCTAATATATGATGCAACTTGATTAGAGTATCTCAGTTACTAGGCTAATTTAAAATAATTCACTTATAAATATACAGTTTGAATTTTCGTATGGAGGTTACCCTGTCAACTCACCTACTAACTCCATTATTCAGTTCATTTACCACCACTCTTCTGCTCCAGGCCATGAGATCTCGTTCAGTGGCCATCTGGCTCCTAGGAGCATTGTTATGCATTTGCCGAACACCTTCAATTTGACCACTACGCCGAAGCCCGATATTTGGGGAAGAAGGTATGTCCATATTTGGACTACTCAGAGCTAGATAAAGCAAAAGCAAGGAAAAAACCACAATTTTCTGAACAACGATAGTAGTGTTGGAGATTAGAGGTCTAAATAAAACAAAAGTTTCAAAGACAGGATGTTTGGGGGCTGGCCTAGGATGCACAAAGTCCCAGATTTGATCCCTAGCACCAAAAATCAGAGAGGAGGGAAAAAATGAGAGAGACTTCTGGAAATATGAAAGTAACTGTTACCCCTGCTCTATATTTTTATGTGCCATCTTCATGTTTCTATACCGTTATAAATAAGTACTCAATAATGTTGAGATTTTGTATTTTTTCAAAGCACTGTTTATCAGACATGTACTAAATACAGAATACAAAACAGTGTCCAAATATGATCTGAAAGATTCACAGATATGTATTAATAATAGTTTGAGCTTCATCTTCTTTTTAATCTAAATTCTAGCTATCTTAATTAGGATATTTGTCAGAAAACTAAGTGTGGAGATGCACACCTGTAATGCTAACTCTTGGGAGGCTGAGGTAAATTATGAGCTGTAGGCTAGCCTAGGCTACAGAGTATGATACTTGCTAAAAATAATGCTTCTGAGTAAAACACAAAACTTTGAAAACAAACAAATATTGAAAATACAAGCAGGTGCTGGGGAGATAGCTCAATCAGGAAAGAGCTTGCCATGCAGGCATGAGGACCTGAATTTGGATCCCTAGCACACAGTTCCAGTGTAATGTGCCTATAATGCCAGCAGCCCAAGAAGCAGAGAGGAGACCTGGGGATTGCAGGCCAGTCAGTCTGGATGAATTGGTGAGCAATGGGTTCAATGAGAGTGTCACAAAAAATAAGGAGAGCGACTGAAGACATTTACCATTGATCTGTGGTCTCCCAACACATACATTCTAAGCATACTTGTACACACACACACACACACACACACACACACACACACACACACCAAAGACCCACAACAACAAGCACGGTCTTAGTATAATCTAGGCTGTTCAGAAACTTTGTGTCTCAGGCTGACCTTGAACCTACTGTGATCCTGAGACCTTAGCTGCCCCAATGATAGTATTTAAAGCATGAGCCACCATATGCTTCCTAGTAAGTTTTCATATTTGCAAGAAAACCACAAGTACAAAATTGTAAACTTCAGCTACAGAAATAAACACTTGAAAACAATCCAAACAAAATGAACATTGTAAATCGAAGTGAGTGGGGTTCCACTGGCTAAAGGAATTTCCAATCTATCTACAGCAACTTAGTGTTAGAAGTCGAGTTAAACACTGACGTCACTAATGAAGACCTAAATTAGGGTTCTAATAAACTCTGCAATACAGGATTGCCAGACTACTTCTAATCTTGTTCAAGGTTCAGGAAAACTGAGTTAGATGACCCAAGGGACACAAATGAAGAAGTGTTTTATTATAATTTTGTGAAATACTCAAGAAATGAGTAAAATATTCTATTTATTGTCTCAAATTTAAATAATATATTCACTTCTGTGCAACCCTACATGTGATTTTATCAAAAATTACAGTACTTCTGTTAAGTATAAAAAGAAACAACCAGGCACAGTGGTATAGGCCTATAAATCCTGGTCCTTAAGAGGGTAAGGCATGATGGCTACAAATTCAAGGCCACCGTGGGCAATGTAGCAAGACTTAATCACAACAAAAATAATGGGCTCAAGATGTAGTTCAGTAGTGACTTTGCTGCATAAGAAACTGAGATCAACCTCTAGCACTAAGAAAAAAAACCTTTGCCAGGCAGAGGTGGCTCACACCCTTAATCCCAACACTTGTGAGGCAGGGGCAGATGGATCTCTGTGAGTTGGAGGCCAACCTGGTCTACAAAGTGAGTTCTGGGACAGCTAGAACTACACAGAGAAAGCATGTCTTTTTAAAGTTAAAACTCACATTTCCTGAAACATTAGAATTGAAACAATCCAATATATAGACATATTAATCTCAAGTACATAGGCACATTTCACGGTACATGGAGGAAGATGTACAATAGATAATAATATTCATGTTGGAGGTAGCAAGATGAATCAGCAGGCAAAGGTGCTTGTTCTCAAGCCTGAGTTCTAGCCCATGGAAACACACATAGACACATATATACACATATGCAAAGTAAAATGGGGAAATTTTCTTTTAAAGAATAATCATTACTAGGTAAAGTAATTAATTATATAATAACTTCTATTGGTATTAAGATTAGCTGCTGTGTAAATCTTTTCGAGAGTCTATCTGTATTCCCTAAGAGATGACCAGACTCTTTACTACTAGCCTATTTCATTCATTCAAGAGCAAAGGATTAGATATGCTGTTTTCCTTTCAAAAGGAAAGGCCAATTATTGAAATGGCACTTTCTAAACTTAAAGTGGTTTAAGTTTAAAAACTTCATAGGTTGGATTCCCAACAAAAGGGCCAGACTTATTCCAACACTTCATTTCTAGAAACAAAAGTAAGGATTTCAAATAAATTGAGTCAGGTGGAATACTGTATTAAATACACTACCTATATTTGTTAGAATAGAAGCTGAATCATTTTTGTTATAACTCATAACAATGAGATTATGCTACTTTGGAATACCTGATATTAGAAGCTATAAATTAATAAAAATGTTTGCATTTATAAATATGAAATGCTTTCACATTACACATGATATAAATAAAATAGTGAAATGTGTTTTTATACTTCCCACAAATATAGAACTACTTACCACCATTAACAGAATATGATCTATTAATTGGAAAATTTGGAACATCTCCTTCATTAATTAGTCTGAGATCTTGTTCTCGCTGTAATTCTCTGATTATTCCATCAAGAATGCTTTCTTCTTGGTCATTAGTTTGCTGCCCAATTACCTGTTCTACCACCTCACCATCACCTTAATGAGATCAAAGATAGAAAGTCAGATAATTACATTTTAGTATACTTTAATATGGCAAAAAGTGAGCTTATCTTGTGAGCGATGTAATTAGAAATATTTAAGATGAAAACAACATATACATGAAACAACATTTTATGGGAATATTTAAAAATATAGTTAATGACTTAGCATTTGTACTTGATTTAACCAACAGTCCTAACTTCAACATTGTTATCAAGGCATTTTAAAGAATAACTATAATGTCAAAGTTAAATAATCTTGGCTAGAGAGATGGCTCAGTGGTTAAGAGAACTGGCTGCTGCTGCTCTTACAGAAGACCCGGGTTCAATTCCCAGCACCCAAATGGTAGCTTACTACTGTCTGTACTTCCTATTTCAGACATACATAAGGCAAAACACCAGAGTATAGAAAATAAAAATAAATTATAAAGTTAAATACAGCTGACCTGAACAATGTGTTGCTCATGGACCCCAGACTGATAGCCAGGAAACCAGCATAAGACTGTTCCAGACCCTCTGAATGAGGATGTCAGTTTGGAGGTCTGGGCAATCTATGGGGCCTCTGGTAGTAGACTAGTATTTATCCCTAGTACATGAACGGACTTTGGGAATCCAATCCACATAGAGGGATACTCTCTCAACCTAGACACATGGGGGAAGAGCTAGGACCTGCTCCAAATGATATGACAGACTTTGCAGATCCTCATGGAAGACCTCACCCTTCCTGGGGAGCAGAAAGAGGTTGGGATACCAGGGGGGACAGGGGAGGAGGAGAGGGGGAGGGAACTGGGATTGACATGTAAAAGAAGCTTGTTTCCAATTTAAAATTTGTCTAATTACAATTATAAAAAAAGAAAATTCCTGCAAGTAAAAAAAAAGAAAGAAAGAAAAGAAAAAAGAAAAAAAACATTTTAAAACAAGTTTTCTACATGCTATATTCTAAGGCTTAAAATCAAGAATTAGAGATTTGAATAAGATTTTTTTTACATTGGGTCTTTTTTACACTGTAACACAGTTTGGCCTGAAACTCACTATATAGTCCTGAATGGCCTCCTGCCTCAGCCTTCTGAGTGCTAGGATTACAGGTGTGAGCTACCATGCCTGGCCCAAGTAATTTATAAACAAGTCACAGTTACCTAGAATGTTCTGCACCTTTCCTTTCTGAAAATTTCATTATGAAAAAAGTTAAAAAATATGGTCTTTTAAATAGATAAATATTCTTATTTGTAACACGAGTGTTTTAATAAGTAGAAAACTCCTTTTATGATAAACTAAAAATCAATGTTTACTTCTGAGTGAAAATTTTGACTTTTGTCTTTCTTAAATGTATCATGTCCTGCTTTTCATCTTGCCCTGTATCTATCAAATGCTATTTGATAGAGTAATGAAGTAATTAGTTCTTGTAAAATTAATTATGCTAAATTAAGTTTTTATTTAGATAGTTTCAGTCTGACATTCTATTTATTATTCACATTTTTCTCTAGTTAATATTAAATCATCAGAGTAACCAAATTCTACTACATTGCTCTATAAAGTTTTATTTCATTTTATATTACGAAGGTCAATTCAAGCATCGATTTACTAGCAAAGAAAGAAAATCCAGAAGCCAGGTGTAGTGGCACATGCCTGTAATCTCAACAGTAAGAAGGCTAAGACAGAAGAAATTTGAATTCTGAACTAGCCTGGGGTACATAGTGACATCCTGTTTCAAAACAAAATTTTAAGGAAGAAAGGAAATTCTATTTGCAAATCTGTAACTTACTCCTCTATAATTAAATGAAACATATTCATTACCAAATCAATGCAAAGGTATTCTATGGAAGATGAAGTAGAAAAGACAGCATACACAACTGAAACATCGATCTAAAGAAACCCATTCTCCTTTTGAGGAGGTTTCATTAACTAGCAACTTTCAAAATGAACTATCCATAATATAATCAATATAATTTTTACCAATTAAGCTTAATATAGTAAAGCTAGTAAGTTTAATCATTACCAGAAGTCACTACACAGAACAAGGTCATACATATGGTAACGGTTTCCCCCGTGGTAGGTCAACAAATTACCTCTTGGGCATGTTACTGATTGTCCTAAACCACTTGCTTTTGAACAGAAGAGCTAAGCAATGAAAATCTAGTCTGAGAAACTGAAATATACAAGTAAAACTTAACAAAAACAGTATAGAATGCATGTCATAACCTACATCAGAATCTAGTAAGGAACATTTTAAATGTGCTTCAGGAGATAGCATACCATTAGCCACATATCCCAACTGTGGAATAAGCTGTTCATCTTTACAATTTTCCCGTCCTGGTACCAGCCGTTGAAATTTTGTAGGATGAGGATTTCCATCGACATCCACCAAGAACGGGGGAGGCATGAGGTGAGGCGCTTGCTGAGTTTGCTCATCCAATACATAGTTATTTGCATCTCTGATAAGTGGTCGATAATCAGTGTGGAAGAACATCTGATCTGGAATCTTTGTGACAGATATTTTGTTAGTGTTTACCATACCAGAGAATGTATAGTCTGGGCCCTTATTTTCATTCCTACAGCACATATATATTTTGAATCAGACAGTTTTTATATTCTCTCATAGTTCTGTGTTGCCATATGTTCCTCTTGGGAGAAACAAATGACCTAGATAGTAGTTTTCTTATCTATAAAATTCTATGATTTACATTATTCTGGGAACCTCATATTATATTTCCCTAATTAGGATAAGAAATAGGGCAACAATCTATCATAAGTTGTGTATTTTGATTTAACTTATAACAAACACACAAACCTATAACTTGAGTTGTTATTTTTATTCAAACAAGAATAAATGAAGCATAATAGGCATCATGAGAGCAATGACCATCAACCAAATCAACACTATTAAAAGCTATTGAGCTAGCCTCAATGATGGTGAGGTCTCTTCTCCCCAGATTCATAGCTAATGAAACACAAAGGACAAGTTGGGTGTGGTGCAGCATGCCTATAATCCTAGCACTTGGGAGACAGAAGAGGGTTGCAGGAAGTTTGATGCCAGCTTTTTAGCAGAAAAACAAAAGATGTGGATGGAGGATTACATATATGACCTAACAAAATTAGAGGACTATGAGATAAACTATTTAAAGAGATTTATAACAAGCAACAAGATTGAAAACAATCATAAAAAACCTCCCAACGTAAAAAAAAAAACTTCTGAATTTTACCAGCCTATTAATGATTAACACCAATGCTTCTCAAGTAATAACATAAAAGAGAAAAAGGAAAGAATGCTACTGAACTCTATTTACAAAGAAAGCCATTACACTGATAAACCAGATGAAGACAAAACAAAAACAAAATTATACAATAGTATCCCCCAATGAACACAGAAGCAAAAATAGGATATTTGCAAACCAAATTCATGTTACTCAGCATGAGCAAACTGGCTTTAATTCAGAAGAGATGATTCAACATACATAATTCAATAAATCTATCACATAGACTCAGGGACAGAAATCATATGATCATCTCATTTCATTCAGAAAGGATTCTTAAAAACCCCAGTATGACAAAAGTACAAAAGAAACAAGAATAGAAGCAACATGTCTTGGGGGCTAAAGAAACAGCACAGCAGTTAACCAGTACATTTCAAGCATCCTCTTCCAGAGGACCCAAGTCCATTTCCTGGTACATACAGACAGTTCACAAACGGCAGCAACTTCAACTCCAGGGAGAGCCAATGCCTGCATTTATCCTCCTCAGGCACTGCACTTGTGACTACACACACACACACACACACACACACACACACACACACACACAATAAAATCTTTTGAAAAAGAAGTACGGGCTGGACAGGTGGCTCAGCAGTTAAGAGCACTGATTGCTCTTTCAGATGACTGGAGTTTAATCCCTAGTACCAACATGATGTCTCACAACCATTTGTAACTTCAGGTCCAGGGGATCTGACACGTTTTTCTGGTCTCCATTGGCAGGCATGTGATATACAAACATATATACACACAAAGTTCCCATATACATAAAATAAATTTCAAAACGCACAACACATCTCAACATAATAAAAGATAAATATGAAAAAATATAGCCATCACTGAACTAAACAGGGAAAACTCAAAGTATGTTCAGCAAGATCCAGAACAAGCAGGCCTATTTTCTTCGCTTTCATTCAATACAGTGCCTGAAGTCTTAGAAGAGTAAAGCACGAGATAGCTAGAAAGGTGATAGAAACAAGAAATGAAGATATCAAAGTTCCTTATTTTCAGATACTAAGACTCTATACACAAGGGACTCTAAAGACTTCACCACATGGTCAAGGAAAGCTGGCTCAGCAGTTAACAGCACCTGTTAGCAGAGAACTGAATTCAAGTCCCAACTTCTACATGTTGGCTCATAACCATCTGTAACTCCAATCCCAGGGTACCTACCCTCTTCTGCCTTCTGAGGGCATCAGGCATGCATATTGTGCACACATATACATGCAAGCAAAACATTCATACACATGAAATAAATAAATCTAAACAATTTTTAAAAGACTTCTGCAGAAAAATCTAGAGCTGATAATGCTGATAGAGCAGGAGCAGGATACAAAATTAACAGAAAACAATGTGTAGCCTCTCTTTATACACACATAAGAAAAAAATCAAGGCAACAATTCCACTCATATTAGCCTCAGAAAAAAACTCAAAATACCTTGTGATAAACCTAACCAAGCAAGGTGAAAAAATTGTACACTTAAAAATTTTAAAGCACTAAAGAAGAAAAATAGTTTTTTTTTTTTTTTTATCATACATGGGCCCTAGATTACACGTAAATACAAAAAGCATTGGTCCAGTAGACTGCTTCCTGAATATTATACCAGTAACACAGACACTGAGGTCAACAATTGATAAATGGGACCTCCTGAAACTGAGAAGCTTCTGTAAGGCAAAGGACACAGTCAGCAAGACAAAACGGCAGCCCACAGACTGGGAAAAGATATTCACCAACCCCACATCTGACAGAGGGCTGATTTTCAAAATATACAAAGAACTCAAGAAGGTAGTCACCAAAACACCAAATAATACAACTAAAAAATGGGTTACAGAACTAAACAGAGAATTCTCAATAGAGGAATCTAAAATGGATGAAAGACACATAAGAAAGTGTTCAACATCCTTAGCCATCAGGGAAATGCAAATCAAAACAACTCTGAGATACCATCTTACTCCTGTCAGAATGGCCAAAATCAAAAACACCAATGACAGTTCATGTTGGAGAGGATGTGGAGAAAGGGGAACACTACTCCAGTGCTGGTGGGAGTGCCAATTTATACAGCCACTTTGGAAATCAGTATGGCAACTCCTCAAAAAAATGGGAATCAATCTACCACAAGATCCAGCAATTCCACTCTTAGGCATATACCCAAAAGAAGCACATTGATACAACAAGGACATATGTTCAACGATGTTCACAGCAGCACTATTTGTAATAGCCAGAAACTGGAAGCGGCCTAGATGCCCCTCAGCCGAAGAATGGATAGAGAAAATGTGGTACATTTACACAATGGAGTACTATTCAGCGGAAAAAAAAATGGAATCTTGATTTGCAGGCAAATGGATGGATCTAGAAAAAAACATTCTGAGCGAGGTAACCCAATCGCAAGACAAACATGGTATGTACTCACTCATATGTGGATTTTAGACATAGAGTAAGGATTACCAGCCTACAATCCACACTGCCAAAGAA